AGTTTTGTCAGACCAGGCGTCAGGGGGAAAAAATGGTGTCTCTATATCAGTCAGCCACGAGAGCGGTGTGTCTCCTGGTGAGAGTTGCTGCTTCACGAACCGAAAGTACCCAGGGGCGCCTCACGGAAGCGGAAGAAGAAGTCTCGACCGGGAAGGAGAGGAGAGCACGTCTCCGGAAGCGTCGGCATCGGAAATCGCATCGACTGTCTCCTCTTCTACGTCCATGAGCGCCCCCACCGCCACGGACCTCACGATCCCAGAGGCTGAAGACTTGCTTAGAACGGCACTGGCTCTTCCAGTTCCAGACGTGAAAGGTAAGCGGATAAAGGCTGTTGGAAAGATGTTAGTGGCAGTTGATACCGCAAGGGAATCCCAAGGCAAGCAAGAAGAAACATCGAAGAGCCCGCGACTAGTGGAGGAGGCGCGACAAGCTATTCGAGCCTGGCAGGCAGGCCTCGTAGTAGGCATGGACGTGGATGCTCGCTCCTCACGGGATGGGCACTGGTACGCCGGCAGTTTACTAGCGGAGAAAGTCTCGACCCTCGGCGCCGAGTCTGAAGAGAGGCTGTGGGAGATCAAGTTCAAGCGTTTCGGGAGCTCTCATAACGAGCTTATCAGCCAGACTGGCTCCTCCTTTTCGCGACTGATGCCCCCAGGCAGTCACACAGGCAGGAGGCCCATCAGCCAACGGCTCGAGGCAGAGAAGCGCCGTCGGGCGGAGGAAACGGCTGCGAGGGCGGAGGCCAAGCGCATGCGGGAGGCGCCGACCATGGCCCCCGCGGTCCTGGGAACCACGCGCTCAGGCCGCACCGTCCGGTCAGAGAATGCGGCGCGTGATGCGACAGGATCAAAGAAAGCCCGACCCAAGCCGGAGAAGAAGGCTCCTGGTCCCAGGGAGGTGGCAGAGGAGGGGCAAGAAGAGGGTTTCCTGGTGGACACGGGCGGGGCGGACCAGAACGACTGGGTGTGCGGCGTCTGCGAAGAAATGGAGAGGAGCGAAGGGGACCGGCTTGTCTTGTGCGACGGTCCCTGCAAGCGGTCCTTCCACCAGGCCTGTCTGGGCATGACTGCGGAGGAGGTCCGCTTCTCGGAGACCTGGCTTTGCGACCAGTGCCGCGACAGGGAGCACACTTGCTTCGTCTGCGGCGATACGGGGAAGGACGACGGGCTTACGGACGGTGTGCATAAATGCCAGAAGCCGCAGTGCGGAAAGTTTTACCACGCACACTGCGTGAGTCAGCACCCGAATGTGACCATCGCCAAGCACCAGCAGGGGGAAGACGACGCCGCGGGTGCTGGAAGCCTGCGTTTTAAGTTCGTCTGTCCCATGCACATTTGCGACCTTTGTGGAAAGGGGCGCGAGTCTGGGAACAACAGAAACCAGCTCTTCCCGTGCTGGCTCTGTCCCAGGGCCTACCACCTGAACTGCATCCCCCCGGCATGCAAGTACCACGAGTACCTCCTCCTCTGCCCCGAGCACTCCGAGGAGATAGACCTCCCCCGCCTCCCAGGCTGGGACGAGGAACTGGAAACCAAGAGTGTCGTCCGGTGGGAAGTTAGCGCGAGAGAGGGAGGGGCCACGGGGGGAGAGGGCGGGGGCCGGCTATCGATCGCTCTGGCCTCTTTGCTGCCCCCTCGACACCTTCCTGCAGCTTTCCGCCTCCCAACCGTGCTTCTGGACGCCGTGAACAGCAAGCCGAAGCCATACAGCCACATCTCCTGCCTCAAATACCAGTGTAAAGTGCCGGAGAGGGAGCCCGGCCCGGAGTGTCAGTGCGAAGGCCAGTGCGGGGAGGGATGCCTGAATCGGCTCTTGCATATCGAATGCGTCGGAGGGGGTGGAGGGGGAGGGACAAAAGAGGGCGGCGAGGATGAGAACGGGGGTAGTGGACTCAAGGGGGACAAGAAGGAGAAACATCACAACTGCAACGTAGGACCGGCCTGTGGGAATCGTGCCTTTCGGAACAAGGAGTATATCACGCACCAAATATTCCGGGAGGGAGGCTGTGGGTGGGGTTTGCGGACGTTGGAGAATGTGCGCAAGGGACAGTTGGTCTTTGAGTACGTGGGGGAGGTTATCGACGACGACATCTTAGAGTTGCGCCTCCAAGAACACGCGCGGGAGCGCCCCAACGACCACAACATGTACGTGATGGAGCTTGAGAGCGGCTACTACCTGGATGCCCGGACCAAGGGGAACGCCTCGCGCTTCATCAACCACTCCTGTGCGCCGAATTGCGAGCTACAGAAATGGAATGTGAAAGGCTTCACGCGGATCGGCATCATGGCCATAACCGATATATCTGCGGGCACGCCCTTGTCCTACGATTACCAGTTTGCCACGAACGAAGAGGGGAAATTTAAGTGCCACTGTGGGGCCCCAACCTGCCGCGGGACTCTTGCACCTCAGAATCAGCTCACTGAAGATCAGACAATGGAAGCTCTTCGTACAGGCTCACGCACAGACCGCAAAAAGTTGCTCCAATTGTGCAAAAAGAGGGAGCGTCGGGAGCAAGCCCGACAGCAGCAGGCGGCTAAAGAGAGTGCAGCGAGGAAGAATTTGACATCACAGTTTTTGCCTGGAGACTCTATACTTGAGATCCGCTCTGGCCCGCCAACGCGATTCTTAGGACTCGCCAAGGTAAATAGTGGTGGACTGTGTCTCGGAACAGACCTCTTACCAAGCTGTTGGATGACTGCTTGTTGCACGATCGATTTCTGCACAGACACGCCTGACTTATTTTCCCTCTCAATTTGATAGGAAAGTAAGATTTTTCTCGTCCGAAATGTCATCCAAGGCGATGATTTTGTGACGCGCCAGGAGCTTCGGAGGAGGCGTCGATTGCGACGTAGTGTGACAGAGGAACGGGAGAGCATAATATGCGGATTGAAAAGGGAAAGGACGGGGCATTTAGCTTGATGGATCAAGATTAAGCATATCAAGGTGTTGTACGCAATGCGGACAAATTCTTTTATGGTCCATGACGTACCATGGCGTTCCCCCCCCCCC